TTTTGTACAACTATTATCCTTCATGAAGACAAATGGACATCTGGAAACAGGATATTCCATGACATTTCTTTTAAACAAAACATCGAGATGTGTTAAAGTTCAGGACCAGTTTTTCATTCATTTACAATACAAAAAAATGAAGATATTATCTGAAATAACTGTAATTTACGTTTATTGTAACACAACTACAATAAGTCTTTTGAGACCAAAAGCGTTTCATCTCCTAAGCTCGGGTATGACTTAAATTCTCCATTGTTGTCAATTTTTGTCTCTTTAGAATACATATATAATCTATTTATATCAGACCATCAAACTTAAAAACAACTTATGGCCATATTTCAAATGTAGCCGAAATGGCATTGTTACACAAAAATATTCCAATTTCAAACTTTACTTTAATACTTATTCAAATATGAGATGATTTCTTTCTTTAGTATAACGTTCGTTATCCTTTACAATATCCAAAATGATCAGTGACAAAATTAAGAGAATTGACTTCGTTTTATTTAATTAATCGTTAAGAACAACTTCAAAAGATATCCCATCTGTATGGATTCAAACATGTTTTTTTTTGGCCACAAATCTAATTTATCTTTAAAGGAATACACGCACCATTAAAACACCTATCGTATACGAGCACAATCAAAATTGACATATCTGCTTACATCTTAAATCAGATGTTGTGGAGCTTTCCTATCTAAGTGTATTCAATATATAATTGGTATTTTTGAGATTCTTCTCGATATCAAACACTTCCTTATTTGGGGATATAAAGCTTTCATTGTCTAGTCCTCTGTCTGCATTTGACGTGTGAAATCAAGCTCGTTTCGTGACGTCATCTGCTAATAGGTGCCTTTAACGTTCCTTTTCACGGCCACGTTAATTAAACATCGCCATTTTTTTCGTATCATTTTTAGTTCCTAGCAACAAGAATGGGAATCTTTTCTGGCTAATCGAATTTCTATAAATGTCAGGTTTCAATGTGACTTATAGTTGCTTCAACACCACATCCCCTCTGAGGTTCATGCGTACTCACTCTGTAAGCTAAGTATAGAACGAATCAGGGAATTTTAACAAACTTTCAAAAGGTATTGACATTTGCCTCTACAAACTTCTTGTTTAATTTCGTAAATAGTTCTAATTTTGTCTTGTGTCAGTTTAAAGTGGGGAACGTAAAATATTGGATTTTTTCCCCAGATTTCTCCTTTTGCAAGTGATCCGTGTAATTTTTCTGGTGTTATGAAAAATAATATTTAATACACAGAACTATTTCGACCTGTGAATAATAATTTGATAATCGAAACACTCTCCTTGTCAGCGAACGACTTCATAAAACTTTACTTCCCTTAGGATGTCTGTTAGTAGCAGAACATGGATTCATTCTATCATGTTTTCAGATAAAAAGTAAAATTCTATGCATGACATTACTGGTGTATACAACCATTTAAAACTATAACTCGGGCCTTCGAGGGACTACAGATGTTTAATCATCGATTTTCTAATTTCAAAAACATACAGGTATTTCATTAGATAAACGATACCGTTTCTAAAATAATACCTATTCTTCGCTTAATCAACAGAGCATTTGTTTCGTTTACATGGCATCTAACCATTCTTTATCTACATTATATCTAACTCAATTTCAGACATCAACACTTCAAACTCGTAGTTTAATATTAAACTATTAGTCTACATTATCTTGATATATAGTTTGCTCTGAAATACTTTTTTGTTGTCTCATAAGACGCCTTTTTATTCAAAAACACGTTATCCAAGAAGCATCAACTTCCGGTTTAGTTTTATGGCTAATGTAAGAGGAGAGAAGAACCTGACCGGGATTCGAACTAATGCCCTGAATCTCCAGTCAGGTGCAATATACCAACTGAGCTATCTAGTCATCGGTGAACGAAACTGTTGGACCAACACAATAAAGTGAACAGCTTGGGTGCATTCATGGGACAATAAACTGACATTTTTAGATCTATACTGGTCAGAGACCAGGCCTGGAGACCATAAACTGAGAACAGACTTAAGTCAAAATTTTGATTTTGAATAACTTGTTATTTATAAGACATACGTTACCAAGAACTTGTAGGTTTGTATAATATTCCAATTTAACATACGGTAAAATTTTGTTTTCTTATCAAAATTATTTTTAAAGTTATATTGATTTATCCTCCTACAGCTTCACTGTAAAAAAAAATAACTAGTTAATGTCACGAAGAAAACTAGTAGATTCACTGTCCATACAATCACTACCTTAATAGGTGTTTAATTTACCAGATATTGGTATATATTTACTAGATAAGATTAGTAAATTTAGAATTGATGAGTAACTTTCACTAGGTATCTAAAACAATTCTTTAAAATACGACCCCCGCTCCACAACTCACTATCTTAACCAGTAAACTGAAAGTTTACTAATCACGACTAACGCTTTACGAAACACACTAGTTAAAATACTAGGTTTTTCTTTCAGTGAATTTGGTCTGATTTCAGTATAACTTGGCACGCAAATCGAATACACTTAGATACATGAAGTAGCGCGTGGATTTTTGATTTTGATGAACGGTGTTGCCATGATTACTAAAAATAGATTTCTTTGAAATTCCTTTAAAACGCTAGTCCTCCTACTGTTTTGATTTGTTTTGAATAGAACTTGGCACACAAGAAGTGTAAGCTACATATCTAAGTGCATCGTTTTTGATGGATGTTGTTGCCATGGTAATTAAAAAAAATTTCTGTGAAATTCCCTTTAAACTCTACTCCTCCTACAGTTTTGGTCTAATCTAAATATTAAATATAAGTTGGTTCAGAAGAAGACTACATTAAGATCACAGGTGCTTGAGGACAGGATCCCCCCCCCCCCCAAGAATCCTGTAGATTTTTTTGTGTTATAAATCATATATGGATGACACATTTGTGATATAATCTATTTTATCAATTTAGAAAATTTGCATAAATAAACATTTTATAAAAATTTCTACCCCACTCTCTCTATATATAAATGAACTTGATTTTTATACATAGAATTTAGGGTAGATTTTATAGAACGTTTGTTTTAGGCGATTTTTCGATTTGTTGGTATAGATCTTATCACAAATATGTCAATGAAAGATTATTTATGAGAAAAAAGTCGAAAAAGCCCAAGGGTCTATATCGAAAGGGGGGGGGGGGTTCCTGTCCTCAAGCACCTGTGATTAAGATACAAGATTTAGTACATGGGTTTTTTGATTTCAATTTCATGGTATTGCCATTGTGACTAAAAATAGTAATTTCTATGACACCCCTTTTAAATATTACTCTTCCTATAGTTTTGGTCTGATTTCAATATACTAGTAACTTGGCACACAAGTAGACTACATTTATATACATAATTCTATTGCTGCCTATCACAATCCTTGTGCTTCTTTTCTTTTCTTATACGTACAGACAGTAGAGCTACAGTCTCATCACAGACTTCTGGTTTATAAAACATTCTACTTAACGGTGTCTACATAATTTTTTTATCACTATACGCTCAATATGTTCGTAGCATTTCAAAATCAATGCAATTCAATGTAGTCATCATCTTCAGGCGCGTAATCGTTTTTGAAAGTGGGGGGGGTTAAATTCAGAGAAATTTTTTTTTTACTCACCTGAAAAAAAAGTTGACAAGTGAAAAAAAAAAAAGTTCCCAAAGTCGAAAATCCGATTTCGTGTGTGTGTGTGTGGGGGGGGGGGGGGGGGGGGGGGGAAGGGGTATAGGTAAACTTTTTCTCAGTTTCAGCTACTTTCAGTACCAATTCTAATACTACATTTTCGGTACATCACTTAAAGTGGGGGGGGGGCAACCAGGCTTTCTATTAACATTTCCTGTAGTATAAGTAAAGTTGGGAAAACAAGTATACCCCAATATGTAAAGTATTATTTCCCCCCCCCCCCCCCCCGTTGCTACGCCCCTGATCTTTGCTCTGATTAATATGTCCTTGATATATACCGTACAATGTACAACGTATTATTGCTTGGCATTTTAATAAGATTTTTTTTTCTCAGAATGCTGCTTAATCGGGATCCCATAAAATTAATTTTCAGATTCGCGTGTTGTTTTGCAAAAAATATAGAAAAGATTGGGATGATCAATTCAATCTGTAAGATTAATATAATGAGAGAAACATCTTGCAAGGCTTTTGTTCTAGATGGCAAAATTATCCCTCTTGATTAATTTTATTCCCGTCTTACTTGGAAGACGGTATGCACAATATTGAATATTTTACAGTCTTCGGACGATGCACTTTCTCTTTTTTGTGTGGTTGGTAAAAAACAGAAGATTTCAAATTTTTCAATTATTTCATGGGCTGAAATGCTGTTCAAGGCAGTTAGATTATTTTTGGCGATCTAATTTTTTTTAAAATCTTAAAATTATCAACAAAACGAACAAAAGAAAAACTGACACTCTCATTTTTAAAGCACTATATCATGTTTTTCAATATTCTCGTAATTAAGAGAAAGTTTTTTTTCTTCTGCATGCGAACACTGAAATGTATCTTTCATTTATATAGTAGGACTTTTGTCTTTAAAAATTGTTGAGGAAGCACAAAGCCAAGAACCACAATACTCAAAGATAATTGGACCTAATAGGTACATATAGTTTAAGGTTGTTGCTAAAGACGGCAAAGCTTTTTGAAAAAAAAATGCATTCGTACATATGAATGTCTTTGTACATATAAAAGATACTTTTCAATCTCAAAATGAATGAGCAGACATTTCGGTCACTAACACCAGTGTAGAAAAAATACGTGTTTTAAAAATTTTATGATAATTCTACTCGGGTAAAAACGATATATTCATATAACCATGTTGATTATTTGTATGTCTCTTTGACATTTTGTTTAATATACATGCAATGAAGTTGATCCTATTTTGGGGGGGGGGGGGGTTAAAAATAAATAAAATAATTAAAATGCAATTTATTTTTTCTTTATAGCCACCAGTAAATTTAAGTATAACTGAACTCTTACTTGTCGGCGACTAGACAAAATATCAGGAGAGTAGCAGAGTTTTCTCTCGCTCTCGAAGCTGAATGCGACGCTCTTTGACGGCGAGGGCTGCGGCGTCAGGTACGTCCTCGTGTTTGAGAGGTGTCTCCGGGGAGACGAGGGAGGGACACAGCCTGCCTGAAGTACGGTGGGAGCGGATCCACGTCGACAAGTCCCCCTTCCGCTGGAACGTCGGCGGTTCTTCCGGATCACGGTACCTGTCCGTGTCAACATACCGGAAATTATCGGGAACGGTTGATGTTCTGCATCACTGAATATTCCTTAAAATTTAAAAGAACTAACACTTGAAAAAGTATTTAAAGTTTATGCATTCAAATTTTTTAAAAAAAACGCCTCTGTTTGAGAAAATGTCAATTTATACAGGCATGTTTATTTTTTTAACAAAAAAAAATATGCAGTATTTTTTTGCTATAAATTAATTTACCTGAGAGAAAGAATAATCTCCAACCTGAACACCAGCCAAAGGGCGAGTGGCTCCGTGATTGGCGCTTCTCTTCCATGTCTACGGAAGGTGACTGACTGCAGTGTCTATTGATTGCCGCTAGAATCTAACGGTAAATAGGAGCTTTATTCTCATGTCTAAAAAGAAACGTCATTGTATGTACGTAGCATTTCATTATCTCGGAGTAATTAGACCGAACTTTGATTTCAAACGTCAAAAGCCATTTGAACATAGTCTTCTTCACGTGATGAAAGCATATTCTTGTACGAAATAGCTAAAAATGATCTGCTCCTCGACTCCAGTTTTGTATCCGTTTGAACATTTCACGGTTGATCTGCGAACGCGGAGAAATTTGATTACTCATTTTAAGTTATATAATTATACAAGTATTCCCATGGGTTATATAATGTAAAATGCTCCAGACAAAGTGTAAGCATGTTTAGTAGTCTTTCTGAATATCACTGAGTATTTTTAAAAGCTGTGTGAATAAGATTCGGAAATTCAAATAAGGGTATGTTAATTACTTTTTATGCCCCCGTTATCGATGATTCGGAGGTACAGTGTATTGTAACGTGTAACCTAATTTAAGGGTCCGTTTTCAGGAGATACAGGGTCTTAATATTACCCAAATATATATATATAAACTTTTCCTCTGGCTCTATCTGAGCCTATAATTAATACGGGGAATCAATATTATATACAACAATGATGATTTGTTATTTTCAGGGGATACTTGTTCTTGTTTTTTTTTTTTATTTAAACAGCGGGATACAATTAGAGGTTCTTTGTAACCGGGTTCTATGACTGGGCTCCTTACACCTGGTTCCGTAACCAAGTTCCTATTGAAATGAACACTCGGTGCCTCACCCTTACTCAGGATTACTACACCTTGTACTTCAGTTCAATTCCTTGGCTAAATACACACCGGTGCTCTAGCTGTACCCTAGCCTTACTTATCTTTCTTTTACCCTTTAAATACTTCTAATTTTATTAATCCGACTTAACTCAATATGAGTTAAGTCCCGTTATGGAGACAAATAGAGATAAAAGGTTCAGGGAAGATAACTCTCACTCAAATGCACTGACTTCATTTAGTCACATCATTACGCATGTGCATTTGCTCTTCCTTTCCATCTTCCGTCAGCCATTGAAACTCAGCATCGAGTTTAGTCTCAACAATATTCATCTTCATCTTGCATTCCTTTGACCATCCAACGTCGGTAATATGAACATAATCAGGGCAAATAGATCCTGGACTAACGGCCCATCCATATCACCCGACGTGCGAATTTATCATAGCATATCTAAAGTATCAACATCCCCAACGACGATATTAACCATGCGTCCAGCAACCACCGCAGTAGATGAACTCTTGTTTGAGAACAAGACCTCAGTGTATTAATACATTGGTGAAATCGAGACCAACTTTTCGTTGTTATAAAAACCAGCGTTTACAAATGGTGCCCACATACATTGGACATTACCAATAGCCATCCTGCAGTGATCACGTGCCTCTTGGATCCGCCACGACATAGATCAGTGTCACATATCATCGGGTTCGGACTGCAAAATATTCCATCCATCATGGATTCATGTGTCGGTAAAATTGTTTTAATTTTTAAGTGCAGCGAGGAACTTGGCTGTGAATGTACCTTAAGAAAGACAATTTCTGCAAATTCAACCAAAGTGGCATTTATTACTTTGTTAATTTAACTGTTTTAAAATATTTACTTGTCATTTCATTAAATCATTTCGTGCATCAATCAGCTGATCTCTTGACAGTCTTGTCGTAACACTTGTGCTTGTCTTGATATATGCTATTTATTCAATGTTTATCTATTTATTTTGCATTTACATCACATTGATCACCACCATCATTGTTTGTGCCTCAATGTTGTACACTGGTTGAGAAATATCTTTGAAGAAAGAGTCACAGATGTGTGAGAGTTGAGGGTAAGTTACGACTGATTGAGAAGGGAACCATCTACAGATCACGTTCATAGACCATAGATATGGTAAGATTGTGTTTAGCAAAGTTTGTGTATATTGTGATGTCTGTGTTTAATACAATTTCATTTGGCAACTATAGGAATTGAAATGTTTATAGTGAAAAGTAAAGTATTTTATGATGACAAATTTGCATAATATAATGCATGAAATGTTATTCTACGATCCTTAAAAGTTACTAGGAAAATGGAATAATTTCCTTGAGCAAAAAATTCAGTGTCCAACATTTGTAAGTGCATGCTCCTTGGGTGTTCAACGACGATGTCTTACTTTAGGAAAAATTTACATCTATAAACTCCATTGGATTGTCAGTCAATAGGTTACAAAAATAAATAAATAACTAAATAAATAAAATAATAAATAAATAAAATAAAATTATTGAATTAATGATATAAAAAATAATAAATAAATAATGCGGGAAACGATGACATTTCAACAAACTTGTCAGGAAATAGGAATTCCAGTTAACGCAGATTAAGATGGAAAGCCCACCCACTTATTTAGAATAAATAAATAAATTCCATGGATTCCGTAGAGTCTGAGAAACTACCTAAACATTTTAACAAAATTGTCAGGAAATAAAAAAAAAAAAAAAAAAAAAAAAAATTGCAATTAAAACAGTTTAAAATCGTAGGCCACACATTGTATTATAAAAATAGATAAACAAATGAATAAGTTTCAAGGATTCCTTAGTGTATTAGAAACTACATGTACCTAAACACTAACAAACTTGTCAGGAAATAAAAATTTCAATTAATCCAGTTTTCAATCCCTGGTTTTAGATTACCGATAATTGATACACATACAAATGGACACAAATATGGAGGATTAGATGCACGGGATTGACGTACACACTGTAATGGGATAAAGGGATCTTATCGCATTGTTTACAAAACCTCTCTATTTTGTCATTGTTCAGATATGTCACAATACGTAATTTAAATATTTTTTCTGAATAGTAAATAACAACTGCAGATAGACAAAAATAATAACATATTATAATACATTTAACCAGGACAGGAACAAAAATAAATTCAGGAAATAAAAAATTCCAATGAAATCAGTTTAAAATTTGTAGGCATTTAACATAAAATAGATAAATGAATAAATAAGTTTTAAGGATTCCCTAGTGTGTTAGAAACTACATGTACCTAAACACTTACAAACTTGTCAGGAAATATAAATCTCAATTAATTCAGGTTAAAATTGAAGGCCCAACTACTAATTTAACATTTCTTGTTCTAGTTAAAAATTGGAAGTTCAAGTTCAAGTTATTCACTCAAACCGTATAAATGCTACATGAGGTTCAACAATATATGTACAATATATACAAAAAATAATATACAAGATACAAGTGAAATGGCGGAATTAATTTTCGTACGAGTAACAACATATAATTATGCCAAAACATATTCACCCCAGAGCATTTTGTAAAGAGTGAAAATTTGTTTGGCTGATTATTGGCATTTTCAAATGCAGTATCGTTCAATGCTGTGGCATTAGTAATTTAATTTTGTTAAACAGTAAAGTTTTATCAGAAAGTGTGGCATGTAGCTGAAGATTTCACAATGCAGCTTTAACCCATAATTTAAAAAAAAAAAAAAAAAAAAAAAAAAAAAACGTTATGTTTATAATATAATAATAGACAAATGGCTAATTAGATATAAATAAATAAATAATTAATAAATAGATTAAATAGATCTAATTAAAATAAATAGTCAAATAAATATAATAATAAAAATGCAAAAGCATAATTATACATGTATATATATCTTCCACATTTTGTCAAATCAAGAAAAATCTTCATTATTTAAAATACTTCACAGGTATTTGTCAATTAGACCCTACTTTCCATGTTCAGTTTTTGATTATTTGGCGTGAAGCCTTCTTATCATTCCATTACTTTAATGCTACAGAAATTTATTTTATTTCTTGGGTTTGACACTAAAACATTTAAGGGTAATACTCTTAGAATTGGGGGTGCTACACATTGAATTCATCAGGCTTGTCTGAAGATTATATAAATATTAAAGAAAAAGGGAAGTCCATGCATTTCAGACTTTCATTCAATTTTAGTCAGACACAGTCTCACTTGTCAACACCTTTTACTGTTTTTAAATTTATTCTAAGTTTGCAGGCACTTAATTCTGTCATTGTATGTGTTATTGCATCATCTTTATGAGTATTATGCAAAAAAAAAAAAAAAAAAAAAAAAAAAAAAAAACCCACACATTCATCAATTTAGATTATGCGAATCGGACTTAAAACAATACAACATCCATATCAGATGGTTTGGTCAACAAGGAATCACCTGGAAAAGGGTCCCACCATTCAAATAATTGAACTCTGGTGTCATAACACAACATCCCACATGTCATAATGATACATTGGGGGTAATAGTATTGGTTCCATGTCCCTTCGCCATCTACAAAAGTTTATGAAATTGACTGTCTTGTTTTCAATTATGTTTAATACCAAGGTTAAAATTTATTGGGTCACAAATGCTGCCAAGAAATTATTTCAGGCCCATGTTGTCACACAAGGTTTGCATTAGGATAAATAGCTCATATATTGGTTCATTGACACAAGAGGTGGGGGTATAGTCACTTCCTCAATATTCAACAGGGCTCACCAAAATTGTATCCAGAGGGTGTTCACCTTTCCCATATACCACACTCTACAATTATTCTCTATACCATTCAGTGTGACATAATAAAAATAATTTGTCAAAATTTTCAGTGCTACCTACCATTTCCATTTAGTTATTGAGCATTGCATATATTATTGTCTCGCCT